GTACAGCATTTAGGATTTTAGTAACAAATGGCTCCGCCTGTGTAGTATCTTTTTGGCGTTTTTTACGTAGATTTTTCTCGATTGCCTGTTAAATTTCAAGTCCAAGTTTATTTTCGGGCAATCGTGTCAGATGTAGCTAATTTCTTCTGCTTTTTTTTCCGTGTTCTAACGAACAGTACTAGGGTTTATACATTTGCAGGGATGGTGCCTCAATGACAAATGCTCTGAAATTGTATTTCCATGCAGAGTCTCAGTTGAAGTGCAATACATATATGTCGTGCACAGCTAGCTTTCTGTCCATATCGAAAACTGGATGCACTTAAAATCGAAAGGTAGCCTTTTTTCATTAGGAAAGCAATAAAAACTTGACCATCGTCAAATCAATTGTACCTCAAAAACAGCCCTTAAGACAGAATACGCGACAGCGTTAATGATGAATTTCTACACGCAACGAATCGGAGGGCATCTTACGGTTAGGCGGTTTTGGGCCATTAAATGCAGATTTTTAGAAGTAATTTACTTTATGCTTAAGTTTACTTAAAATTATTCGTTATGTTGATCCATTTTATACAAAAACAGATAAGAGAAGCTCTTGCAGAGAGCGGAATCTTCGTCACAAAGCACTAACTGAAGTAAATGTTTTGAAAAAAGAGCTTGCCACTTACAACAAATATCAAGTCGGAACCGAGTGTCATGAACATCATGTTGTAGTTAACAAAGAATGAGATGAGACACCGAAACTATATGCCGTCGAATGTACCCTTAAATAGACCATCATAAAAGTAGCGCTTTACATGTAGCTGAAGATAGCCACTGAAGACATGACTGAAACGACTGCGTTCGTAACGCTGTTGACGCCTTTCATGATCTTGCTTTCAATATGATATACAGCATTTAGACGTAACATTTGACTCATTATGAATAAATTGAGCGATTAAATTTCAAAGAAAAGTCTCCCTTACGGATTGTATTTTTAAAACTGTAGTAGTTGTTAATTAAACTGAGTTGACGAAGCTCTGGAAAGATATACAGTTCATGCCTTATAAATCCCTGGGGAATAATTTAGTCATTGTACCTTGTTTTAGACCTTTTTATAAATTGAAAATGAACTGAACGTTCTCTCGCGTATATCAATACATTTTACACAGACATGGGAAAGGTGAATTAAGATTTAATTAAGTATTCGGTACGTATGTCTGACATCAACAGCAAGCTTAATTATCGCCACTCATCAGGTCTCTGTTGTCTCTACTTACTATTACTTATTTCTTCTTACGTTATTTCCCCAATCAGCTACAGACTGGATCAAAAACACCAATAGAAAAATTTTCAAACAGTGTTTTATTCAATTCCAATTTTCCATCAGCACTATGCTTGTATGAAAATAAGAAAAACAATTATTGACTGTTTTGCATATTATTAGTTGCAGCGCGCTCCATCTATACAGGTGCAGTCCAAAGAACTAAATCTGTCTTGAAGGAACAGCGCTGTACTAGAATATCATGATTAAAAACTGACAACGTGTCATGGACGAAGGACGTCTTGTACGAAAGAAGTTGACTAAAACATTTTACAGTGTTATTAGTAAATCGCTCTAAAACCCCAGATTATGATGTGACACCTTGGAGAATGAAACTGACGTCGACCTTTATCTTGCTGTTGAATGGCCAGCATTCTGTGCGCATTTGTACGTTCATTATTTTAGCGTATGTTTTTCACTAAGACGTGGGTTTTTGCGACTGTTCCTTAGAAAAGGAATTGAATAAGATAATTAAACCAAGCATTTTTAGATCACCTTAAAGCTGATAATATCAGGGTTTCTCTGTCTCAAGTGAGTGGGTCGACCTTTGGATTGACTTTTTTAAGCCCTCATACCGGTCAAGGCAATTCTATCGTCTGCCTGCTTCAGCTCATACGTAACGTGTTTTTCATTTTAGAGATCATCCACCAGGCAGAATATAACCTTGGGTTCCACCAAACACCTGCGGCTCAGCCGAGGTTTACTTAATGGCCTTATTAGTCAGCGTATGATAATTCTGCAGGAGACAAATGTAAACAGGAAGAAGATGCTTTTGCCATGAGCTAATGCCACTGCCCAACCTTTCGATGCTGTTTTTAGATTTACTTCTTGGCAGCCTTTTTTTGTTAGGTGACGTTGAAATCGCCAGGGGCTAAAACTTTGTCACGTAGGTGACATCTCAAGAAACTTTAGCAAAGGTTGTACCGAAAGATAAGGTTAAGCGTTGCTTTCATCCCAAGTGTTGTATGGGCGTGAGGTCTTGAAACATGTAAAATATGACTAAACATTACGTAAAAGCTGATGAGCGGTTCTTTCCTGTTTTACTGTTTATTATTAAGAACATATTTTACCTCTTATTCAAAATTTTATGACAGGGAAAGTCTTTTCCTTTTGGAGCATTTTTGAAGACAAAAGGGTGAAATTGATGCTCAATGCACCTCGCCGTTGGAGCACAATAACATCAACAGTATTGCTGGTTCACGCCTATAATTAAGAGTTCACACCGATTTGTAGTAAGAACAATTAATTTCTGCTCTCCTGTTTTTCGCCAGAAAACTGACCACCTGCCTTATAAAGACGGTCCTCTCATCAACAAACACAACGGGTAAATATGACTTGGACTAGGCTGTTCAGTGCAGGTGGCAGGGTTTGGTTGCTTTTATGGCTTGCCCCTCCCATTAAGTAGCTGTACACAAACGTGCAAAGCTTATACTTTAATACATTAAAAAGCCAATAAGCTAATAAAAAGAAAACCTAAAAATAGGATCTATTTGAATTTTGGTAAAATTTTGATGAGTAAGCTATTGAAAGGTTTTGATGTTCTTAGTGACTTTAAAACAACGGTTTTCGTTTTCCTACCTCCTCGAGGAGTCCTATGCCAGCACACCACCCGTAACTCACAGAGTTTACTTTCTATTTATCTCTTTTAGGGGGAGAAATCCCAGAATTTCTGCAACAGCTAGATTCATGTTCACAACAGAGCAGAAATGATATGCCCTTGAGGCAATATCACAGCAGAGTACAGTAGCTTCCGAAACGTGTCAAATGCTATTCTGTGTTTTCACTTATCAAGCACTGCTGTTTAAGAGATCATTGTCGCATTTCTATAGTGTCGTCAGTTTTTCTTTACTCTGTTTTTAAGTGTTCGATAAATGGGGTTTTATCGAAATGAGACAATTTGTTTTTGCGTTTCACCAACGCTTCATCCGGCTGTTAAGGAAATATTGCACGACTACTATCTCCCCAGTTCATTGGTTTTAAAAATTTCAAGCAATTAAGGAATATACCCGTGCACCAGCGATTGATGACATTTACAAAGTCCTTTTGAACTTACAGACTTTCTTGACATATTTTCAAGGACAGGAAAGATTTATGTGCTCGTACACTTCAAAATGTCTGTCCTAAATTTGCCTTTGCACAAGCTGATGAAACTTTTTCACTAATGAATACGGGTTTGGGTAACAAGAACAGGGTTTTCTACCTAATTTCATTTAAATACGAAGTGTCTGTAAGCTGCTTGCCCAGTCTTGCCCTTCAATTCAGTTTGAAAGCAAAGTAGAACATCAAGGGCCTAGTCTTCTGTATCTTAAACGAGTGCTGTACAGTTAGTTATTCGCAAACAAAAAGGACCAGTCTCACTTGGTCAAATGCAATACGAGATTATTTAGATATTTGTAATTACCGTAGCTACCCAATCTTTAATCACTGTGAAAATTTTATTGCTTTATTCATAGTATCACTGATTTATAGAAATAGAAAGCAGAACAAACTTTTTTTTAAAGAGATGTTCAATCAAACGATAACTTCCCCTGATGGTCGAATAGTCATTTAGAAAGAACCGGACTTCCCTTTGACGTAATATCCGGGCTATTAGACAGTACAGGAAATACGAAATATGTTTTATTGTAGCAATATTATTTCAAATGCCTTAATATGACAACACTTTAGTAGTTTCTTTTGTTTTCAAACGGAAAGGAAAATTAAAAACACCGGGTGTTGCCGTAGATCTTAAATCTTCCGGTCTTGCGAGGAGGTCTCGCGGGAATTTCTGTCACGCGAGTCACACGCGGCTTTCGAGATCTTCGCGTCATTTTAGTAAAAGCCTTGGATGACTCTTCCTTTTTTTCTGGCAAGCCCACTTCAAGTTTGGATCGTGATGACAGCCAATGCATGTTGTGTTTTGGTTACATGTAAGGACTAGATAAATTTAGATCTGGGACAAGTAAAACAATGACGTTAGACTGACTGAAAGAAGTTCCTTTGCGCCTCCGCAATTAGACCTGTCACGCCAAACTTAGGAACCTATTCTGGGCCAAGTAACAAATAGCCTTTTGTTGCCTATTTAGCGCGCCATTTTCTCTGTTGTTCTACTTTAGGGCATAGCGTACTGGACTCCATGGTATCTTCTGACATTTCCAAAACAGCGGAAACGTACCTTAGTAACTTAGCACAAACTGGTATTGGTTGGACTATAGAATCTCCCAGACGTGTATACTAAACATAGGTTTATCTTTTGATAGGTGAATCAAGATGGTAGAGAATAAGTTTCGTAATAAACCTTTTTGACAAGTAGAACACAATTTTTGGTGATTCTCTGATATTTTGCCCGTGTTACTTATGATAATGGCAAAGAAGAACTTCCAGACCCTTTTTAAAAATGGGCGTATTTTACGATCTCCATTTCTTTGATACTAGCGCCTATCAGTGTTGGAATAATCATTTTATTTCGTTTGTAAAAACTGAAATTTCATTTTATCCGGCCCTCCTAAAATTCGGGAATCGGGGTTTTTTGAAATGAGAGTACTTATTAGTGTTGTTTATAAGTACATACTATTTCTTTCAGATGTGCAGTTTAGTTAAACCCACCGAATTAAGGGAGGTATGGTCATTAATTTGTTATTCTTTTAACGTTCATCAGACCGGCAAACCTTTTTATAAACCTTGTTCTAAACGTGTCCTTAAAAAATATCGAAAAAAAAAACGATGTTGTTTATTGAGGGCTTAGATAGAATTGTTATGAAACATTTACCCCGGGCTGCGTGACCGACAAAAAACGCAAACTGCCACTAATGGGCATTAAAACCACGAGTTGATATATAGAATGCCAGCACAGTTTTGTAACACTCTTTTTCGATTTTATTGCCTTGTTTTTCTGCCATACAAATATATATGTTACCTTTTTGATAAGATAATAAAATTTCAAATATTACTTTTTATAAAACTCTGCAATGTCAAATATTAATAACTCATTTAAAAATCACAGTCTATGTAAAGTTAAACCTCTTGCTTCACTACTTTTCCACTAACTTTGCCTTTACTAGAAATTGTTACCCTTTCGTTCACTGTCACGAATTATAGTTAGGTGCAATGTTTTTCTAACTCTACGAAGAAGGAATTGGCAGTGATGTTGTTTGTGGTAAATATATTTACCATGGAAATATTGAGGTTTTCAGTTTTCAATTTTATATAAGACCTTGTTTCGACGAGCAAACTGGCCAGCTGGTTTACCTTGTTTTTTTGAAGATTATGCGAAAGCTAAAAATTGAAAAACTTCACGCTAATAACACAAAGTCTGACATGGTCAGAATCTCAATGATTGTTGTGTGTTTTTACATAGTAAATACTGTTCGCTTGACTTTATTTAAGCAAGCACTATATCAATGTGTTATGCTGTCTGGCACACACTTCTGTACGGCTTTTTTACCGTGGAGATGACTCAACGAATGGGGGAAGTTGATGACTCTGATTCACTCATTATTTCTTCTTAATTTTCTATGTTAACAATTTGTAAAGTTTCCTTTAGGTGGAACACGAAAATAACGCAACTTAACACGAAAGACTGTATAAGAGGTGCTTTCTTATTTTAGAATAAAAACATCTCGAAATTTAAGTTTGCTAATTTGAAACGATACACAAAAATTCTCTATTTAGGCCTTGGCGCTCTCCTATTTCGTACTACTCTATAAGACGTGTTCTCATTTTTCTATAATTGAAAAAAACTCAGTTCAGTAGTTCAGTTCAGACCTATTGAAAAGTCTCCGAAGCTCTTGTCCATGAAAATTCAACTCTTTGCGTCAATTTCTTCAACTCTGATGGGACGTGGCAAGGACCTGCGTTGCTTTTCTTGTTCCCTTGCATGTTGAACTAAGCAAGAGTGTTTATTCTTTCTTTTCTTTATATTTATTGGGTGTTGACACTCGCGGTTCTTGTTTGGAACTTTCAGCTCTTGAACTTAGCGAACTGGTACACGAGTTTGCTGCGAGGTTTCGTAAGAATTCCTTTGGCGATGTATGTTCGCAGTGACCGAGCGAAATTCTCGTACTTCATTGAGGGCTTGTTTCGTCTTCGGCCCCACATGCGCGCCACCTCGGCAGAGTTGATGAACTTGAACACTCCTTTCTCTTTGTCTACCCAGTCAATCATATAGGCGTATTTGTCTGGATTTTCTAACAACTCTAGTAGATATTGACATAGCCGTGGGCGACCGGACTTCTTAAAGCTTGTCTTATGCTTGTGCATGGCGAATTTCTTGTGTTCTGCTGAACTGAAAGTCCTCTCATCTGTTCGTCGCGCAGGGCTCCACGCGAAGTCGGGCGGGCTGTCTACGCTTGAGAAACTCGCGGGGCTCTCGGAGTCTCGCTCCAGTGACATTTGAGTCATGTCGTTGTTTTCTTTCTTGAATTCAGGGTCTTTGAAAAAGCTGTCGCTGAAGTCGCTTTTTACGAAGCCGTTTTTCAGCCCGCTGTAGAACGGTTTCTCGCGAGAGAAGGGACTAGTGTCCAGATCGTACCAGGGCTCACAGTCGTTCACGAGCTGAGCGTCCCAAAAGGAAGGCATGAACACTTTACATTGGCTCTCACTCGCTTCTCGTCGACCACCCACTTGACAAACGTTCTGGGCCTGATTAATCAGCATCTCGTCTATTTCAGAGTTGGTTTCTTGTTTGATCAAAGCCATGGCTTGAAGCACCGGCGGCCTCCACTCTAAGTTGTCCATTTGCTCTTGGAAGGCGTATTGATCGCGCGCAAGAAAAGGATCTCGTGTTTGTGAGTGACTTCGCGTGTCCCCCAACTGCATGCTACAGTGTAACCAGTTGGAGACCTCGGTGAAAGAGGTATGAGTTGAAGGTCCAAATGTTTCACTCTTGATCCGCAAGTCTGGCTCGCTTTTGTACATACGAGCTATAGAAATGAAAGTAAATATCTGTTAGACTTGAGCGCGCTTACCAACTAATTGAATTGTAAATGTGAAAAGAAGAAAGAATTTTGAATTTTCTTTGTTTAGTTAATTAAAACTTAGAAGTTTTCTTGGCACGTTTCTCTTCGTTCTTTGTGATCTACTAAATACATAGAAGCAGTTTCGTTTTCACAGGGATCGGCCGGCTATCGAGGCAAGCAAGTTTTTAAATTAAAGTATAAACACGCTTTGAAAATCCTTACTTTCTACGCTCAGCTGGTTTAACCTCGCTTGTCAATATGTAAATTATTGCAGGTAAATAATCGACGTATTACCTTCCTCAAGGCCCAGAGAACCAGCCATTAGCTTATCTTGGTCCGCGTGGTCGGCACCTATATAAAGAGAAATGGACATTTAAGGCAATGTTTCTTTACTAGAAAGTGAAAGTAACATTAAACTCCAGTAAAATATAAGCCGAGTTACAGCGCAAACAAGAGCGCTTTTTTGAGCGCCTACAGCTATTCTGAGGAATCGCTAAGAGGCCAAAACTATATTTTGATGAACAAAACCACAACCGCCCACCTTAAATTGTTAACGTTGCTTGTCGGTAACCTTGCGTACCTATGGCACGATTCGATTTATCATTGAGGGTACCCGTGGATTTATTTTCTTCTTATCTACTATCTTTTTTTTTTCATGACAACTACATTAAGTCTATTTCAGGTCTTAATGAGTCCATACTATGTTTTTTTAGATTTGTCAAATTTTAACTGATGGCGTTATTTTTTAACGTGGGCTTGAATACTTAACTTTCTTTGACTTCCGCTGTTTTGTAACCAAGAAACTAAAAGACTACATACGATTCTTCTACAAATTACTCCTTACTGCAACTAATAGTACCACCGCCGTATAGGATAAAGTCAAAAATGAGTTTTTTAAACTGTGTTTAAAAAAAGCCGCAGTAATCCACTGTCTGCTCTTATGCGCGCGAAAATTCTCCCTATTCAGTACGTGGGTTGTTGTTCAGGGATATAAATAAGACGACACTGTATACGGTTGATTACCTGGTACAACTTGTGCGGGGGTGAACATCTTTAACTCCGGGATAACTGTGGAGAGAAATGAGAAATAAAATTTTTGGTGGACAAGTTTTTAACCGCGTGCCTGTCAATCTCCCAGGAGGCGTGGCGGGCTAATAGAGCTGACGTATTATTTTCGAATTCCCACCACACGAGGGTGATGGTTTCTGCGTAGTCGGCACATATTCTTCTTAAACAAAACGGGAGTATCCTCAAATTGCGCGTTGTGATCGTCAGACTCGAGCTGAGGCCCAATTACTTATCATTGTTGGAGTGTGAAAACTTTAACCTACCGTTTCTGTGACTCGATTGAACGGTCTCGTCGGGATTGTCGCGTGAGAGAAAGATGCAAGGACGGACGTGTTATGAATGAATGAGCGAGTAACACTATAACAGCTTATCAACAGTCTGAATATTTGAAGTGGTACAAATTACGCCACTGAACGCATTTGTGACGCATTGCTGTCTCACGTGCTCGAGGTTTTGTCCAATCCCACGACGGACTCCATGGCCATTGACGTCAATTGAATGACTTAGCTCTATTTATAAATTCACTTAAGCCAATATTTTTATCTGGAAGTCGTGTTTCAGCACATTTTTCGGGGTCGACACTCCATTCAACCAGAGCTTGTTATAGGGGTAATTACACTACAGTGCAGTAACTTTACGTGTTGTTTTCCTCGACCGTGAAAAAGCACAGCTCTCAATACTATGCTCGTTTCTCTTAAACGCTTGAACTCGCGTGACATTTTTTGTAATGTATTCTAGCCCACGTAGCGGATCGTGATAATTTATGCGTATTTACAGGCGTTTGCTCGAATAATTTTACGGCTCGAAGACCAGCTGTTGATTATTATTATAACCTACCTTCGAAAAGCTCCTCGAAAGCGACATCTACCGGGCTTGAGGGACTTGTGTTTATAACCATTTTTTCAAGTCGATTTTGCTAAAAACAAACAATTGTCACGCGTTAGTTTCAATCCATTTCAAAGTCAATTTCCGCAAAATTTTGGCACAACTAAAATTGGTTGCGTTACTCTTTAATAATTTACTCAGTACATATGGCTGTAGGAGGCAATAAACTTTATTGACATCATAGCGCACTGAATTTAGCACAACCTGCTGCAAAAAATAGCCATTTTAAAAAGCGTTAAAATTAATGATGGCCCACATGGTTATAAACTTTCTTATTTTGTGAACCGGGAAAATAAATATTTTTCTTATCGATTATTGAGACGTGACTGTCCACCGGAAGTTCCGCTGGACATTCTTTTTCTAAGAAGAGCAGGAACATGTAGCCAATCCAGTAGCGGTTTTTTGAGGTTAATAATGCTCTTAATGCAGTGCAGTCAGAAAATTAATGCAGCTCTGCATAAACGCTGTTACGAGATGACGTCTGTCTCTCAAACCATAACGTTGCTCAAACTTCCTGCAGATAAACGTTGGTGTTTTAGATTATTCACCGTAAGGTGGAATGTCAATTTTAAGAGTAGTGGAGGCGCATGTTGGAAAAAAATAATTTAATACTTTTATCCCCATGGTAACGCTAAAACAAGGAATGCTAATTCAGTGTCGCGCGCTATTCGCGCGCGCAAACACGTGTGCTACGCGTCAGCGAACACCCCTGTGTGGAGCCCTGTTACATCTCATAAAGATCATAACCCCGAGCAGGGTTTTAAATTCAGAAATACAAGATTTACATGCATTTTATTCATCATCAGCACAAACCGCAGAAAAGTCAACTTTTGAACACCGCAACTTAGGACATCCTACGTTTCAGTAACCGCACATGTTTCTCGATGTATACTCAACTGATCCCACACATTTACGATGTTTAGGACATGAAAAGAGCAAATAAATGAATATATCGCATTTTTAACCATTAATTATGTCTTAACAAAAACTGTAACAAAATTAGTAATATAGGTGTTTTGGGCATTGTCAGATATTTATAAACCTTATTTTTTTTTTCCTTGGGATTAGAAATTTCTTCTGCGCATGACAGCACTTACCTGTTCAATAAACTTGTGCTCAAAGAGTCAAGATTGTCTTTTAAAAACAGAAGAGGAAAATGCAATCCGCATAAACTGCCAAGGTTGGCGAGGAAAAGTGTGTCCGAGGTGTCTCAGTCGCTGAACAGAGCTAATTTGTCTCAACTTAAGAAGTTTCTCATCGGAGCTGCCGTGCTTAGTCTATCGTGCACCTCACCTTGTGATATGTTAGTTCACTGCAAGCACGTTTGTAATTAAGCCCATTTGATATCCTCTTTTAAAAATATTCCATTCATTTGTGATTATAATGTGATGCAATGCCAACCGCCAATCGTTGCCTCCGGCTATGGACCATGACAACAAAGCGATGGCCTGTGACGTCAAACGGCGGCTATGGACGACTTATGCATTAAATACAATCTGTTTACAAGTATTCTTTTATTGATTAAACTACATTTTGAACTTTTTCTATGGCGACGATACTAAATCATGCGATGAAAACTCAGGTAGAAATTTGTACGGTCACAGACCCTTAAATAGGATAAACACAAGAAGAAATCCGAGTTGTGTGCGTGAGCTATTGAAGGGTTTTAATGCGGAATTTCAGTTCCTTGTCACACCAAACTCGAGATCGTCTGAAAATTGTTTTCTTTCTGCCATTCGATCCCAGGCTTCGGTAGCTACCCTCAAAATACGTAATATTGTATATCTGTAATCCCTTGGTCTGTTTCCCTTTAAAATTCGTGGAATTGAAATGTAAGAGGGATAAAGAATTAGCGAGTTCGCTTCTCTTTTACGTTGCATAGTTAAGCAAGAATTTAAATCCCCTGAAAGAAATTTTAACAATTACATTTTCACGCTCAATTGCATCTGTCCGAGTGCTTGAGGTTTATTTCAACTCTTCTTACTTTTCCTATGACGAAAGGATTCTTCCTTCTTTTTGCTAAACGTTATAAGTATCAGTTCTTCCTGATTACTGTACTACACGAGAAGCTCTGACTCTTTCACTATAAAACATAGGGCTTTATCCATGCCCTTGGGTTCCTTAGCAACTCCAATGCCAGAAAAAAATTTTCAATTTTTTTAAGCGCAATGAGTTCCTCTTCACTATTAAAGGTGGGGAAACCACCGTACATTTTTATTTTCGTCCTTTATAGTCTCTCTTCTTTTGGTAACTGATGAGACTCATCTCGCCATGGTATGACGTCAATGAGGTGCGTGGGCAGCTGAATTCCCGCCAAAAATGTCTTGTCTTTTTCGTACAGAGTGAAATTGATCTCTCTTTACCTAAAACTGCTCTCACTATTTAACAACTGAATTGATAAATTTGTTTCTTATCCCTTGCTATCTCTGTTAGCACAAAAGAACCTTAAAAAAGGTTGGTTGTCGACGTGACCATTCATACTGTCAGAGTATATGAACGCCGTTTTTCTTTTGGGCATCGTTTCCTTAGCATTGTGTCCGTTCCTTATTTAATTTGAAAGCATGAAGCTACCATTACTGATTACGTGATTCGAGTAGCACCTTATTAGCACCGGCAGACTTTCCCAACGGATATCGTCGCCAGGCCAAATATACCCCCGGATGCAGCGCTAGTATAAAAACTGAGAAAATGTGGGGCACATACATGTTAGTGTTCACTTGACCCGTAACACAACTGGATCATCGTGAATCATTTTATTTGCACGACATGCTGTTATTCGCTCTGGAAATCGCTAAAATATTTTAATTGATCGCGCTGTCGAGTAAAAGAAATGCACGGTGTGAATCTACAAAGGGGTTAAGAATGCGTTTAGCTGGTTAAAACAGGCAGAATGATTTTTAGGATTGTGATAAATTCTCCTATTTTCAACCCTCTGTTATTAAGCTCTTTTTTTCTGTCAGAACTTACGTAATTACTATTCAACTTGTCGTCATTAAAAAAAAAAGGAAAAAAATATCATTCAGAAAAGTGTCAGCATAAAAGAATGACACCTACGCTTTCCCTGTGCCCTTCACAATCCTCGGGTTGGATTTTGGAGGTACGTTTAAAAGAATAATAACTGTCTATAAATCAGTTCTATTCAAGAGATCAAGTGAAGGGAATTTAAATTTCCTGTTATAAACAGCTAGGATTCCCACGGTTGTGAAAATTACCGGCTGTGCTGAGTCTACTTCATCGTTTAAACACCCTCTTCAATACTTTAAATCCATCGGAATTTTTTCTTGAGCTTTCTCTGGCTAAGAATTGTTGATGCCCTTCTCAGCTCGTTTCAAAATACAACAATGCCACAAGAGCGTTCAAGTGTGCCAAAATAAAACTACCTTTTTATAAAATGCCACATAACAATGCTGATCAGAACAGCTTTCAATTTCGGTGAGTGATTTATCTAAGTCCGAGACTTGTTTGTCTGTAGTATCGTAAGTGTTTATCTAAGTGTTAGTTGAATGATCTCACTTTAAGGATAACGTTATTTCAAGTTAAGCCAATATTTATAATCACGCACATAGTGTCATAGTGATTGAGATCCTACAAAAGTTCAATCAGTCAGGATTTTTTTTTCCATCTGCACATAATTGCTCCAGTTTTGAAAATGCCTGCAGGTATTTTAAACGTCTGAAAATTCCGTTCCTGTGGTATTTGTTTCGCTTGTTACCCCTTAGTTCTTTGGTTCTGCGTAGGATGGAGTTGTTATGATACAACCCCTTCGGCAACATAACCAAACTTATTAGCAACGTCGCAACGGGTCACGGTAAACTGACTTCAAACCCCTAATTTCAATTCTCTTAAAAAGAATAACCACTCAAGTGACGTTTGCTCATGGAATATTTAACAGCCCACTCAACTGCTTCAAGGGAGTATGTGCGTAGGTTGCCCGGTCAAAATTTTGTTTTTAAGCAAAATAAGCACTCATAGAAACTTTCAAAGAATACACAGTAAGGAGGAGAGTTAAGAAAAATGAAATGAAATGAATGTTCAGCGGAAGTGTGTCCTTAGATTGAGTCGTTGTTTCCACCAATCCCGGTGTTTGAATGCTCACGGACACTGCGTGGAAAGAGCCTTCTGAACAGTAATGAAATTTTGCTCCATTTACAGTGTAACTGAAATAAAATAGCTCCATTTAAATGAGGAAAAATAAGACGCGACTGCCAGAGTGAATGTGCCTTAGATGAGAAGCGACTTGGCTTAGTCGCACCTTATATAGTCGTTTGTTACCCTCCGTGTCTTATATAAGACGCGTATCTATTTCCCCCCGTATAAATGGCCTTATTGTTATTTCTGGTCTTGTCTTTACTCAAAATCCACTAAAAGAAAAAGCACATTAAAACTGGAAAAAGAGATTTCAAATGCGTTTGTTTTGAATTTTATCCAAAAAACCAGTGGCCTGGTCCTTCAGGGCTGGCACTCCTTCCGCTGCTGCAGCTCCTTTTACTCCTCTGGAAGCTTGATTTCCTGCAATAAATAGAAGCGATTTTTTAACTTCAAAGTTTTCTGCTGGGGTTGAATTTATTGATTTTAGCCTTTGGGCTGTTGTTTTAATTGCCATGAGAAAACGTGTCTGCATCGTATGACTATCCAAAAACGGTTAGATGCATCCTGTATTAACATCGGCCGAACTGAGTATATTGTAGCATAAGTAGGATATATCTTGGCTTTTATCTCTGTATTTTCTGAAAATTTCTCTGCAGGCCGTTTAGTTAGCTCTGAAGTCTCAGTGGTTTTACTCTCCGGTATTGTTACATATTTCTGCTCAGCAAAAGGCAATTCATGTCTCATAATCAGTTGGAGGATTTCCTTAGTACAGGCAGGATTTCCTCAGTTTAAGATAGGAATCATACAATGTCTTACAGCTTCGGAATATTATAAGTACAGTTATTGGATATCACCCCAGACATATGTCCACATAAACATCATACCAATATTCTAATTGCTGATTGTTTTTCAAGTCACGTGATTTATCGAGATTTATCTCACCGAATGAAAAATGGTTGTTTGCAATGTCACTAACATGATCCTTCTTTGCTCTCAGTCACTGGACTATTACATTAACAGAAAAAGGAATTGGGTGATGAAAGCAAGAGAACCAGATTTTCTGTTGAACGTTGGGTGTACCCGAAACGTACCCTGCCGACTAGTATGGGTTACTGTGTAAAAATGACCACAAGGAACTTAACCGTATCGTGCGTTGATAATGGAACGATGTTTGGATTATACCTGGTACATCTTTAAGTTTATCCACTCGTGTACGTCCCATTTTCTGTCTTTATTTTTGTCAATAGCAAGTTTAGTTCCCGAAATAAAATCCTCTTGAAAAAGTGACAGCATGTCTTGTCCTGTCAATCACTCATTAAATCTTTCCTTAGTTTAAATGCTTCCATTTGATCCAAATACTTCAATTGGTTCTTCGAAGACCTCGGTTCTAACTGCATGGCTTGTCAATTGTAGATCTCATCAGCCCAGGAAAGGATTAAATTCAGTTGAATGGGAGCAAAGGTGGCGCAGCGGTGAGGGGTTTTTCCCTTCCAGTTGGCCAAAAGCCTCATTTAATTGCTGAGTATAAGGCATTTTGTTGTGTGCGGAATACAACTGTGTGTATTCTACAGATACATCCCTTGTCAAAGTAAAGCTCTGAACACATCCTTCGTGTGTTTAGTAGTGTCATTGGCGTTAATATGCCTTCAATGTGCTCACCCATATAATGCAAGCTGTCTTCGAATGAAATCGGCTATTATCTGCTGTATAACATTTCTTCCTATGTGTTTGTGTAATCCGCATAAATGTATCCGTTTCCCATAGGCTCGACGCCCCAAAAGAACGGAACCCGGAATTTGTTGTGCATTTTCAATTATCTGTTTCACAAAGGAGATGATTGGCCGTCAATCAATCATGGTTGCCACGGCAACTGCCTGAAAAGCGATGCAAACTGGTCGGTTTCTGAATTATTTTTTTCTTGAAATTTTGTTGAAATTATGTATAGTTTATTACGACGAGTAGATAACAAGCAGAGATTTGACGCATTTCGGTTGCTAGTATTCCCTTCTGCAAGGAGTAAGCAAACCACATTGCGAAGAGCCTACGGTTGCTTTTGTTCAGCGGTTAATGTTTTTCAAATTTTTCTCCGTCATAAATGAATTCACTTGGATCACAGACGCAGGCTTCAATTTTGGCGATACACAATATTGCTTCTTGCAAAATTAACTCATCGCATAAAGCTACGACCGGTTACGCTCATTTTTACAGTTGTATGACGAATTAAA